AGAGTATAAGGGGGAAATAACAAGGGCCAAAATTATGTTATTAACAACAAAGCAAGTCATAGGTTTCACGCTTAACATTGTCCCTGTCACTTAGAACACGGGCCAAATATGGTATCGTTGAGTTCCTATACTTGGTTGTACTGATTTCTGGTTCTACCTGATGAGATGCAAGGAGAGAGTTGGGAATAGAGGGGATGTTGGAGGTCAGAGAGTATGGTTTTAGACCATTTCTCGCATGTATTCAGATGCTTATCCACTAATGTAGTGACGAGCTGACTGAGTTTTACACCGCTAGTCCTACTAACTACCTTCAACATCCTTCTCAGGATGGTATAGTCCTTTTTCAGTAACCCAGGAAAGACTAACGGGGAGCAGTGAAGTAGAATAGGTAAGATACGAGAGTTGACAAATTGTGAAAGCAGAGGTTGAGGGACTCCAGTTAGTCTGAGTTTCTTAATGTAGTAGGTTAGACGAAACACTTTCTTGGAAATCATTTGGATATGAGATGACCAAGTAAGGTCGGAAGATATAACTAATCCGAGGTATTTTGCATTAGATTTTGTTTCAATTATAGTCCCCTCAATGCTACAGGCTTCATGAGTGCTTACTAGTGTTTGTAGATTTCGTTTATGCCTAAAGGAGAAGTCGATAGTCTGGCATTTTGAGGGATTCAGCATGAGGCCATTTAGTTTAGACCACTGAATGATGTCAGACAGGAAGCTATTTAATTTGAAGCAGTCTGACTGAGACTTAACGGGAAGCGAAACAGTCAGGTCATCTGCATATTTGACGAAGTTGATTTCGTCTGAGAGAGGTAAGTCATGTAGGAAGAAGGAAAAGAGAAACGGCGAGAGAACAGCACCCTGAGGAACACCAGCTTCAGTAAGCAAAGGAGAGGAAGCTACACCATTATATACCGTGTACTGCATCCTATTGGAGAAGTAAGAGTGCAGCCAGTTGATAGCCCAGGACTCAGTTTGTGTAAGGCTAAGCTTGTTTAACAAAAGGCCTCTAGGTACAGAGTCAAAAGCAGATGTGTAATCAAGGAAAGTACAACGGACATACTTGGCCCCTTTGTCTAAGGAGGATACAATGTTGTGATGAAACACAGCAGCAGCATCCAAAGTACTTCTACCCTGTTTGTAAGCAAACTGCTTTGGATCGTCTGAGAAGCTTAGGGAGGGTACGAGTTTTTGTAACAATAATTTCTCCATTAGTTTCAAAAAAGGAGAGGTAATGGCAATTGGTCTAAACTTAACACTATCACCAGAACCAGCCCTAATAAATTAGTCAGAAAGCATGTAGGGGAATGTAAAAATAAAATAAGTACTTATAGTAGTGATACTGATAATAATAATAATATTAGTGACGAAATGCGTGTAAAACATGCGCAGGATAATGACAACACCAACAATAAGGAATCTAAATCATCAGTAGTAATTCCATACAAGGAAGGAACCTCGGAAACCATTTTATGCAGAATTCTTAACAAGGCGGGAATAAAAGTGGCTGGCATTCAAACCATCCACAAACTCAATTAGAAACAAGCTTTGTGGGTTAAAGGATCACTCCTTTGGAGCCAATTAAATAGAACAATTTAGTTTGTCTGATACTCTGCCTGCAATAATTGTCAGGTCAAATACATTCGTCAAAGTAGTAGAACAAGTGCAGTTAGTCAGACTAGCCGAGCATAAAAGCCTAGCAAAATGTAGACTGGTAAGATAAGAAATCTAAAGAGTATTCCAGCCGTAGATAGCACTACATGCAGTCACATCCAACCATACAATAGGATGGATGGGATAAGATGGCAGTTTTGAAATCTAATGTAACAACAGGGTAGAGGAAGAGATTGATATCAACGGAAGCTTTGTTTATCGAATCAACTGAATTGAAATACATGTAATAGGAATAATTCAACACCTGTTCAGTTGGACATATGGAAAATTCTACTACGCCAACGACGACAAATAGGCGAGGACAAAGAAAACTATAAAACTCAAGTTTCGAAGTCATGTGATTATAACTGATGAAATGATTATGAACAATAATAGATTGTGTTGGAAACCTTGTCACCAGTAAATAATACTGTTTTACTGTGTGTGTGTGTGTGTGTGATACATCTAATAAACAAACTAATATGGAATTAGTTACTATTCCAGGGCCCAAGTTTTACACATATAGGAATAAATATCTTTTAAAAAATCAAATTAACTTGTCTAATATAGAATTAATTCTCTTTCTCCATTGATGTTTGAAATGAATCATGATACAGACCAATTCATAAGATGTCTACAGCTCTTTCTCTCTTTCTTTAGTCATGAAAATTCTCAAATTCACAACCATATACCGAATTCTTTATTATCCATACTGTTGGTATTTTAGCAGATGAAGGAGATCGCCCGTTTCACAAGATACACTGTATGCAGATGTAAATGTTCATCTTCCAACTCCCAAGGTACTTGCACCAGTGAGATTAGAGATAAGAGTTGTCAGGCGATGCAGTTATATGTCATTCATGCAAAATTTAAATAAGTTGACTTCATATTAAAACTTCAGCTGAAGTTATTGCCTAGGAGAACAACAAAAGCTTGGCAATTCAATCGATCATCACAGAGGACAAAACCAAATCAAAATCACCTATCGAATCAATAAATACTCTCTATTACTTCAAAATCAAAATAATAAACTGAACTTTCGAAATAGGAGATGTCATGCGTTAACTGTTAACTGGCAGGCTTAGTTAAGTGTTTAACAAACGGGGCAATAACAACACTAAGTAGTACAGCAAAAAAAACCTAAACGATCAAATGAAGCAGATAGAAGAATAGCTGGTTGGTGTTAAATAACTATCCTATAAAATTTATTAAGAAGATCAGTAAAGACCAAAAGCAAAATGAAAATAATTGTGAAGCTGGTAATGATAACATAAATAAGAGAGAATATAAGGCATTTACTGTTATACTATATAAGGAGGGGACATCTGAGACTTTATGCATAGGGATTCTTAATAAAGCAGGAACTAGAATGGCAAGCTCTGTTTGTTAAAAAACCCAGTTGGTTGACCCAATTTGACTAAATAATATAATTTACAAAATACCCGGCAATGACTGACTGTAAATATGGTCAACTACATAGGTCAAGCATGTAGGTCGCGGGTAATCAGATTGTCGGAACATAAGAATTTAGCTAAGGTAAGAATGGTTGACCCCACTTGCGAAGATAAGTAATTTAGAAAAAAAAAACGATTAAGCAATCGCACTGCATGCATTAGCACACAACCGCACAATAGGGTGAGAAAGGATTCAAATTTAAAAAGTAATATAGGCAGGTGGAGATAGAGAGAGGTTGATTACTGAATCCTGTCTGGTTCATCGAGTTTACATCCAACACATGCAATAAGAATGATTCATCACTCATACCCGAAATATGGAAAATACTGCTACCAATCAAATCAAGCGATGGAAAATAATGATGGAATTATATCAATGAAGTTAGAAAGTTGTGTGTGAGTAGTGCCTTGATATGATTATGAGGGGCAATAAATCGTGTTCAAAATGTGGTCATCAGTAAATATTATTGTACAACACTGTGAGACTTTATCGAAATATAATTTTACCCATAATGGAATAACATAATTGGATTTGAACAAAGAAAGAACTACAGTTTTTGCAGAACAAAATGGTACCATCTTTTATTTCGTTGCTTTCTCGTCAGCTGCTTACAGACGAAAGACATTATTAAATATATCTACAACAACATCTTTTGACATACTTGCACGGAGTTCATTTTAAACAGAAATCAATCGATCAGTATATGCATACAGTAATTATATATATATATATATATATATATATATATATATATATATATATATATATATATATATATATATATATATATATATATATATATATATATATATATATATATATATATATATATATATATATAATATTAAACACTATTCCGAACAATAATAATCATACACAATGAAAACTTTTTAGCATCACGCATTCAGATGAACGAGAGATGAAAATATCCAGTTACCAGGTTGGCAAAGAAAGACTGATAACCGCTAGTTTCTGAACGCACAAATCATGTTTCAGGCGCTTGATGGAAATGGCTTTAGCAAACTTAAGGAGAATTGAACTCTTTGAATGACTTTTCGACATCCACCTCATGACCGGTGTCAAGGAGATGCCTGGTGATGGCACTGTTTAAAGCATTTGCTCCCCGCTGGATACGTAAGCTTTTTGGTACATGTTCAGAAAATCGTAGATATGCCCTTCTTTCTGTCCTTCCAATGTAACTGCTCTCGCAGATACATGTAAATTTGTATATACAGTTGGAGGTAACATGAGAAGGATATCTATCGATTTTTGATTGCACCAAAGAGCAAGTTGTTCGATAGACGGTAACGAGCTTAGCTGCAGGACAGGCTGTGGCTAGTGACGTACTCAGTCTTCTGTTGATCATCGCTGCGATGTTTACACCTTTTTAAAATCAAGGTGAATGTAGATTGGCTTTTTTTCTTTCCTTCACGTTCCCCTGTGGAACATAGGGCTTCAAGCTAGTGGCTTGAATTTTCTGTAGCAGTGTTTAATTTTTACAGGATGGGGTTGCTAGTCTCATGCCCAACCTTTCTCTTTACCAGGATTATTTCTGGCTTAGTGAGGTAAAGGAGTGCGTCTGTGGCCGGGGATTGAACCCCAGACCATGTGCATGGTCGGCGAGCGTTCTAACCGCTATGCCACCGATGCATTGGCTTTTAACCCACTGTGATTTGTTTTACATTTGTGACTTCAGATCTTCCATACTTGTTGATGAACTATTGAGGGTACCGAATGCTCTTCAATATCTTTTCAATAAACTCACAGATCAATGAATCGTAGTTCTACAACTTTCTATCACAGGTTTTGTTTCAATTAACACCTAACATTGGCAAAAACTTAATTTCTTTTTTTTTCTGTGTATTATATTATTATCCTTTTTACTTATAGATTGCTGAACAACGTGTAAAAATCGATCGATTGGAGAAAGAAAACTCTAAACCAACAAGTCATACAGCACCAAACGATACTTCTAAGCCTTGGCAAGCTATAATCAACAATAATACTAATCCTGCCAATACTATTAACAATACTACTGACGGTAATAAAAGTAGTCATAATAATAATAATAACAATAACAACAGAAATGCACAATTACCGCTGAATGAAGAAAACCTTTCCGCAGTCAATATCACTAAAGCCAATAGTTCACCATCAAGATCAGTAGGACATTTGAAACCAGTCGACGAAGAACTGATTAAGGCATTTCGTAAAATTCGAACATAAAAATCCCCAGAATATGTTGTAACCTAAAGTCATTCATTATATGCAGTAAAGTGTCCAGAAAGCATTTGCACAGTTGAAAAATCATAAAAAGCTATCACGGAATCTAGAAAACTGATTTGTTTGTTTGTTTGTTTTTATCAATTCTCCAACAGAAGACAATTTATCATGTAACCTGAAGGGTTATGAAACATATTTTTTGTATCAAAGCTACGAAACTAAACCTTCATAAAAACACAGTGTGAAGGGGACAGTATCAAATTTTGCTGCACTATTTGGTGTATTCATCACTAGTTTTCTAAACGTCTTCTTTTTTTCAATGCTGTTATTATATACTACTTTGAGAAAAGAGTAGAAAGATAGTTGTGTTTTTTTATTTTGTATTTTCAAACAACGTTATTCAATAAGTGTATACATGTCAGTGCACACTAGTTATACCGATTGAGAGATTATGACAATTACCTGGCTAGCCAAACTGCGATTGGGCTGGCTTAGGGTTTAAACTACTGATGGGAAGTCAAGTGTCCAATAAGATGAAGTCACGAGCCAACATCATGAAGGGAGTACTGGCAATAGCCATTTTGTCCTAGTTGGGGACTCATCGGCAGCACTAAGCATCCACCGGGACGAGATCTCGCAACTGAAAATATATATATATATCGTTAACATGTTCTTGTGCAGCCAGATACACTGTTGGTTCAACGCCTAATCTGTCTGAAAGGGCTTGCGGACACTTCCCCACATCCATCTGTTTTCGACATAGAACTTTGCACCGATGTGTAACAGTTTAAGTCGCCAAACTCCCTACATGTAGCACACAAAGAAAGAGGAGAAAATAGAAGAAACATATAACAGAAACAGTAAACAGAGGCGTGAGACAAAGGAATAGTAGTAACGAAGAACAATATAGTTTCACTGGAAATCATAAGTCACAAGGAGTGGATGCATCTGCGCTAGCCATTGAGAACGATTTTGAACCACATCACCAATTGTTTCCAACCATTGGTTTTTACCATCCTGAGGACCCCAACCAGGAAGTCCACATCTCCCTACGTGGCTTAAACAAACTGGTGTGGATTTCATTGACTGGTGCTATGTTTTTGTTTGACCTCCACTAGCTCTTTTCCAGCCTGATCCTATATCAGCTAACATTACCCGTCAACAAGGAAGGCGATGACTAGGCATACGTAACACATGTCCTAACCCTCTCAGTCGATGTAACTTCACAACCGCGTCGATTGATTTCCCCTCCTTACCTAGGACTCCACCGATGTCTAACCTCAATGCTGCTCACATTATTATACCAATTTACACGGGAGATAGAACGCAGGCACCTATGATCAAAGACAGCCAGCCAGCCAGCCTTTTCATGTCTCCCACTCTCAATGACCAGGTCTCACAGCCAGCCATAAAGGAGGACGGAGCGGACTGATGAGCAGTACACACGCCCTTTGGTTGAAAGCCAGCCGAATATCACGTCTACGCCAGAGACGGTGTAAACTGGCATTTGCGAAACTAGCTCTCTGTATCCGTGCTGAGACTTCGTCAGAGATCAAACCCATTGGCACTGGCTGATGAAACCTCCCAAATAAGTGAAGCGGTCAACGTGCTCTACCACTTCACTTCCTATTTCTAATCTAGGAGTCGGTGTAGTCCAATCAGTCCTGTAACATCATTTTCCATTTTGGCGGGAGCGAATCACAGGCCAAACATTCGTAGATTGCAGCTCAAGGTGTTTAGAAGACTCTGCATTTTGTCAGTGTCCTCACCTAGAAGCACTGTATCATCCGCGTGCATATTCTAAGTCAGCGAGATTATTCCCTGGTAGCAAGCCAATCCCTGAGTCGCTGAAATCACTTAGGGTTAAGTCCATTAGTACATCTATGATGAAGTTGAATAGAAAAGGGGATAATGGGCATCCTTGACGGACACCACTAGTCGTCACCACTTCAGGTGACAACTTGCCGTAAGCCCTCACCTGTCTGCATGAGTAGGAGTAGAGTGCCTTAATTAGTGCAATGTATTTTCTCGGCAGTGCCTTTACAGCCAAGCATCGCCAGAGGACCTCGATGGACAGAATCGAATGTCATATAGCTGCAGAAAAGTAGTAGTAGTAGTAGTAGTAGTGCAATAATTAAACACGTGTCAATACTGGTTATCTCACTGCAACAAACCTCTCCTCATTCAAAGTAATCTGCGAAGTGAAGAAGAGCCTGCCAAAAACAATACACTTCCGTCCCCCTTTCCACTGTTGAAGCTCTAACGATTCAGACAGAGAAACTAGAGATCTGCATACAAGGGAAAAATTATTCAACCACTACTTCTACTATCATGGTGACAACGTTGTTTTTTAAAGTCTTTATAACTCTTGTATTTTCAAGTATTGGTTTTGTAGGGATCGTTTTGTATGATTGGTTAGAGGATTTCATCATGAGCTGACATCAGTTAGAGGTCCACTGGAAAACCTGCAAGGACTACTGGACAGTCACCTCGTCCTAGATGGGCATTTGTCAGCACTCACTGGGGCTCGAACTCAGCACCTTGACGCCACAAGGCGAGCTCATAGAACATTAAGGCAGTTACCTGGCGTTCCAGTGGGAAGCTGTTACCAGTAGGATACAGCAGGTTGAAGGTGACGCAGCAACTCATCGAAGAAGACATAGCGAAGTGGTCGTACTATGTCATTCAATTAAAAGTTTAAAAGCTGACTTCAAATTGAAGTATGCGCTGAAGGTGTCGCCTAGTAAGGCGATGAAAGCCTCGCAAATTATCTATCCAGCTCAGAGAATACAACCAAATTAAAATCATCCACCTGAGCTACAAATCTTCTCTACTATATATTAATTCTTTTGCTACTTGACGCTTACCTATGATTATGATCACAAATATTTTAATTGCATTTAATACTACTATTATTATTATTTCAGGTGTTCGCAGTTTTGATCTAATTCCTTCACCGGATATAATTTCTTAAAAGGAGCCATATATATATATATATATATGATTGTACAGCTTGATAATAAATTCTTTGGTGAAAAGAGTCTTTTCTTCGCTGATTATTGTGTTCTTAATACAACTCATTCAATAAATTACTCACAACTGTAACGGAACTCTAACATCCTTATTCAACACCTTTCATGCAATGACTAATAATATATTGATTGCATGGAAGATTTCATCATGAGGTGACATCAGTTAGAGAACCACTGGAAAACCTGTGGGGACAGCGGTTTCTGTGGTCCTAGTTTTGGACTCTTCATCAGTACGCACCCACCGCGAGGGGGTTCGAACCCAGAACCTTCTGGTTACAAGGCGAGCTAACTAGTAGACCATTTAGCAGCCACTGGGGGATCCGATCCAACGGCCAGTCAGTCCATGAATTCTAACTTCTGCCAAGCATTCACGACATAGCGCGACCAGCTCACCTTGTAACCAGAAGGTCCTGGGTTCGAACCCCCTCGCGGTGGGTGCGGACTGATGAAGAGTCCAAAACTAGGACCACAGAAACAGCTGTCCAGTACTCCCCGCAGGTTTTCCATTGATTCTCTAACTGACGTCAGCTTATGATGAAATCTTCCATGGAATCAAACGAAATCCCTACAAAAGCAATACTCAACTAATAATAATATTGACACCGCCTATGATTAATAACCACAACTCATTACTTTTTTTTACTAGTCTCTTTTATTTAAAATCAAATTGAATATAAATACAAATGTTGTACAGATAGAGAGAAAAATGAATTTACCAACGGAAGACAGACTTTTTTCTTTTTTCTTCTACTGAGCAACTCCGCACTTGCTCGTGCGGAGCTAGGTACATAGGTCGTTGTAGGCGTGTCCTCTCAAAACGTGTTAGAGAACACTAACCAGCGTGGCTGCAAAGAGGAGACACCAGATTAATCAGAAGTGGCATTACTGAACATCTGGTCAACACCTCCCACAAAATCTCAACCGTCTTTCAAAGTGATTTACAAAGTCAACAGAAACCTACCAAGAGCAGTATGTTTCCGACTTCTTTGTACTGCAGAAGCCCTCGCAATATGCATCAAGAAGCCGGAGCTGTGTGTTCAAAAGAAATTAGTCCAACCTCTACAACTACCATGGGTGACCTAGTTTGGTATGTTTCCTTTGCTTCCTTTTTTTCTCTCTCTTCCTCGTCTGTTTTCGTTCTCGCTTTTCACTTTAGAGCATTTTTCGTTCGCTGTGTGTCTGATCCTTAGTCCCCCAGTCTTCATTAGATCCATCTAATTTTTTTTCAGTTATAAAAACAGTTATTTTAAGTTTGTTTCCACGCTTTTCCCTGTTCACATTTATAATTCGTTTGAAATAACTATTCTACAATTATATCTTAATCCTGTGAAATTTTTTATTTCTATGCCTCTTGTAATCTATACTCATACCTCCTAACTAACATTTCAAGTTGAAAATTTTGATGTCAATTTGTTTCCATGCTCATTTTGTTCACACCTGTAATTCGTTCTATCCCTGCGTTTCTAAGCCTCTTGTAATTTATATCAAGTCGAAAATAATTACCACTTTTGATTCGCCTTTAAGATTAAATCTCAGCTATCAAATATTAATTTTTTGCAAACGTTGTAACTATTTTCTAACCCTATGAAATCTTGTCTCTAAGCCCCTTGTAATCTATATTCGTACCTTCAAACTTTCATATCAAGTTGAAAATTATTATCAACTTCGTTACTATGTTTTATTTTTAACAATTGAATGTATATCGACACTATTTTTTTTTTATTACAGCTTGATTCCACACCGTATTTTTGGAACAAGTATGGAGTTTTCAATGTGGATATCGGCAGCCCAAATTTCGCAGGCCGACTATAAATATCAGATGTGCGTCGGCGTGGGCTCGAACCCCGGACCATATGTATGGTCGGCGAGAGTCTTAACCACTGTGCCACCGACGCACAAAATAACCGCCAGGTGAAGATGTGCGAGGTGGCTTGAAAAAATGTGGCTATTTTGCCAGAGTCTCATTTTGTTTGATTGGGTTGGAGAGAGAACCATTGGAAAACCTGTGGGGAGTACCAGACAGTCATCAGCTCATAATGAAATCCTCCAACCAATCAAACACAAAAATCCCTACAAAACCAATACTCGAAAAAAACAAATATAATCAGCAGAAATGTGTTGGGAGATTGTGCAGAATGTGACCATTTGCGTCAATGAGAACAGAGGATTCAAGCCATATCACCAACAGTATCAAACTATTGGATCTTAGCATTTGAAGAGTGTCACAATCAGACAGTTTACTTCTTGAACCAACTCTTAAAAAACTTCACAGATTGATGCCAGACCTCCACACAACTAGTATCTAACCTTTGTATGGACATTAGTCAGTAGGTAATGTGATGTGCGTGTCCTAGTCCTCTGAATTCTATCAGTCACGTTTGTAATGTGGCCACCCATGCCATCACGATGCACTTTGAATTGCTAATGTTAGATGTTTGGAGACAATCGGCTATAGGAAGCCTTGTATGACCTAGGTTTCGTGCCAGTCTGCGAGACGTACCTACAACTGCATCGAAGGAACAATTCATGTCCCTTCTGAGATTCACAAAACCGAGCTACACTCAGTGTCAGAGACTTTACCATTGCAACAGCTATTCGGACTCGCGATTGGCCTTATTTAGGACTATATGTAAACTCTAAGCAATCTTATAATAATAATAATGTTAAAATCCAATATTATATAATACCAGAATAAAAATAAATTTATTTAATGCAACGACTGACTCTTCACATAAACAAGAAAGGTATGAATGCTGTATGTACAATGAGAGGTATAATACACCACAGAGTAACACAAGAGTAAATGTGTAATGGAGAAGTAAAAAAGGTAATAGGAACAAGAGCACTCTATACAGTGTTAATCATCAATAACAATCGTATTATTATCATTAGTATTACTATTATTATTATTATCATTAGTAGTACTAGTATTAGTATTATTAGTAGTGGTAACCGTAGTATCGTCAGTGTTATCAGTATTCTCAGCTGATTCATCACTTCCATTCAAGTTATACTGATCAACCAATGAAACTAGATAGACTAGATTCCGTTGTAGGATGCCTTGCATTTGAGCAGCTTCAGAAAATCGACCTTTTTTAATAAAATCAGCAATCAATTCGATAATATGATCATTTTCATCTAAAAGCTAAAAAAAAGGAGGACAACAACAACAAACACATATTAATGTGTGTGTGTGTGTGTGTGTGTGTGTAAAACTTGACCACTGCATTGTGGTACTGTATGTAATTCTATATTAATTTGTTTAGTGGATGTATTATACAGTGAGTGAAACAGTATTGTTTCACTGGATGACAAGGTTTCCAACACAATCTATTATTGTTCACATAATCATATCTTTAATTATAATCACACGATTTCGAAACGCGAGTTTTGTAGTTTTTTTTGTCTTCTCCTATTTGTTGTTGTCGGGGTAGTCTGTATGTCTGTGTGTTTTCGACATAGAACTTTGCACCGATGTGCAACAGTTTAAGTCGCCAAACTCCCTACATGTAGCACAGAAAGCAAGAAAAGAAAGTAGAAGAAATGCATAACAGAAACAGTAAACAGAGGTGTGAGACAAAGGAATAGTAGTAACGAAGAACAATATAGTTTCACTGGAAATCATAAGTCACAAGGAGTGGATGCATCTGCCCCAGCCATTGAGAACGATTTTGAACCACATCACCAATTGTTTCCAACCATTGATTTTTACCATCCTGAGGACCCCAACCAGGAAGTCCACATCTCCCTACGTGGCTTAAACAAACTGGTGTGGATTTCATTGACTGGTGCTATGTTTTTGTTTGGCAGCCGCTAGCTCTTCACCAGCCTGATCCTATATCAGCTAACATTACCCGTCAACAAGGAAGGCGATGACTAGGCATACGTAACACATGTCCTAACCCTCTCAGTCGATGTCACTTCACAACCTCGTCGATTGATTTCCCCTCCTTACCTAGGACTCCACCGATGTCTAACCTCAATGCTGCTCACATTATTATACCAATTCACACGGGAGATAGAACGCAGGCACCTATGATCAAAGACAGCCAGCCAGCCAGCCTTTTCATGTCTCCCACTCTCAATGACCAGGTCTCACAGCCAGCCATAAAGGAGGACGGAGCGGACTGATGAGCAGTACACACGCCCTTTGGTTGATAGCCAGCCGAATATCACGTCTACGCCAGAGACGGTGTAAACTGGCATTTGCGAAACTAGCTCTCTGTATCCGTGCTGAGACTTCGTCAGAGATCAAACCCATTGGCACTGGCTGATGCAACCTCCCAAATAAGTGAAGCGGTCAACGTGCTCTACCACTTCACTTCCTATTTCTAATCTAGGAGTCGGTGTAGTCCAATCAGTCCTGTAACATCATTTTCCATTTGGCGGGAGCGAATCACAGGCCAAACATTCGTAGATTGCAGCTCAAGGTGTTTAGAAGACTCTGCATTTTATGCATTTTGTCAGTGTCCTCGCCTAGAAGCACTGTATCATCCGCGTGCATATTCTAAGTCAGCGAGATTATTCCCTGGTAGCAAGTCAGTCCCTGAGTCGCTGAAATCACTTAGGGTTAAGTCCATTAGTACATCTATGATGAAGTTGAATAGAAAAGGGGATAATGGGCATCCTTGACGGACACCACTAGTCGTCACCACTTCAGATGACAACTTGCCGTAAGCCCTCACCTGTCTGCATGAGTAGGAGTAGAGTGCCTTAATTAGTGCAATGTATTTTCTCGGCAGTGCCTTTACAGCCAAGCATCGCCAGAGAACCTCTCGGTCGACAGAATCGAATTATGCCCATAGGTCAAGAAATATAATGACTGTTGGACGCCGGTAAGAATTCCTATGTTCTAGAATCTGTTGGAGGGTGAAGATATGATCAATACACCCTCTTGCTGGTCTAAAGCCTGCCTGGCTCTCTCGTGTTTGTGTTGGGATAGTAGAATTTCCAGATATCTGGCTGGACAGGTGTTGAATCATTCCTATTACACGTATTTTCATTCACTTGATTGATTAGATAACCAAAGCTTCTGTTATCCATCTCTCCTTCCACCCTGTTGTTACATTAGATTTCAAAACTGACATCTTATCCCATCGTATTGTATGATTGTAGGTAACTGCATGTAGTGCTATCTACGGCTGGAATATTCTCTATATTTCTTATCTTATTTGGGTCAACCAATCTAGATCTGTGTGTCGGTGGCACAGCGGTTAGGACGCTCACCGACCATGCACGTGGTTCGGGGTTCGATCACCGGCCACTGACGCACTTCTTTACCTCGCTAAGCCAGTCATAAAAAAGCTGGTAAATAGCAAAGGTTTGGCATGAGGTTGGCCAGCAACTCCATCCTGTGAAAATAAACACCACAGCTACAGAAAGTTCAAGCCTCTAGCTTGAAGGCGCCTCATGTTCCACTGGGAATGCAAAGGAATACAAAACAAATCTAGATCTACATAGGTCAAACTAGTAGAACAACGGCAGTCAGACTAACCGAGCATTACAAAAACGTAGCAACGAAATCTAGATTGGTTGACTCGAATAAGATAAGAAATCTAGAGAATATTTCAACCGTAGACAGAACTCACTACATGCAATTACACACAACCATGCGATAGGATGGGTGGGATAAGATGACAGTTTTACAATCTAATATCACAGAGTGGAGGGAGAGATTGGTAACAACGTAAGCTTTTTTTATCGAATCAACTGCAAATCAACACGTGTAATAGGAATAATTCAACACCTGTCCATCAGGAAATCTGGAAAATCCTACTACCCTATACACGACGAATAGGAGAGAACAAAGAAAACTGTAAAACTCAAGTTTCGAAGTCGTGTGATTATAACTGATGATATGATTATGAACAATAATAGATTGTGTTGGAAACCTTGTCATCCAGTAAGTAATACTGTTTTATACTGTGTGTGTGATACATCTAATAAACAAACTAATATGGGAAAAACAATTGGAGATTGGACTGAATGTGTCAACATTCAGTCAAAAAACAAACAAATTAACGAAAATAGAAGGAAACTTACACGGACAACACTCACTGCCTCTTCATCAATCACGTATCTAGCAGGATTCGCTATAAAAACACCCGACATTTGTATTCCTACTCAAGAACAAGCAAAGCGATGGCGGCCGTTTCTAAGACAACAATCTGTAAAAATGAGGACGTGAAAAAATGAAACACCTTTTTTTAACTCGAAAGATCGATTAATGAATAAAGAATATTCTTCATTATAACAAAGTTTCTGTAAGTATGTTATGTGCTTTGCGCCGTCCAAGTGCAAAGTACTCTTACAAGATTGGCAGGAGCCTGTACCTGCACTCACTCTTGCGGGTGAACCGCTTGAAGTTGTTGATAAGTTTGTGAATCTGTGTAGTTTTGTGAGTGCTGGTGGAGGGGTGACGGATGAGATTTACAACCGTATAATGAAGGCTAGGGTGGCATACATCAACTTGATTCACCTCTGGTGCCGTCGCAAAGTTAGCTCGGCTGTCAAAGGACGAGTATGCAATGCTTCGGTGTCGGCTGTCTTGCTCTACGCCTGTGAAACCTGGCCTCTCCAAGTAGGCTGAGAATGTGCGGCGATTCTGCGTGTCCGATCATCGTTGTCTCCGCAGGATTGCTTGCGTTCGATAGCATCATCGCGTGAGGTTCGGTGGCGTGTGTTTGAACACAGTGAAGACCACCATTCATTGAGTGTCGTCACCTGGAAACACCGGCTCCGGTGGCTTGGACATGTGCTTCGAATGTCATCCCAGAGGCTTCGGTACAGGTCTCTGTTCGCTAGCCCTGGGACGGGATGGAAAAGGCGGAGAGGTGGTCAATTCATGACGTGGCGTTGTAGGATGGTGGATTTTTGTGCTAGATTAGCATCGGTTGGTGTGTCACGACTCCTTGGTTGGGGTCCTCGAGATAGCTCAAATCGATGGCTCGAAACGTTATCGGATATGGCCAAGAACCGTAATCAATGGCGAACATGTTGCAATTTCCTCCTTTCTTCCCTTCCCGATGAAAGTTAACAAATACTGTTTGAACTTGTTTAGCATGACTGTTTTCCTTCCAGATGAAGTTCTTTATCCGTTCTCTACTTACATTTTTTTCTTTTGACTTATGTTGTTTTATTATTATTGTGTGGCGCATCATTCTTAATGCCATATTGTACCAAGTCTTTTTTATGCGTTTAAATAAATAAATACATAAAATTGTATTTCCCAAAGAATGAAAAGGACAAAACGATATTGTTGTGTTTACTGACGTTTCTTTATTTGGAATGCTGCTGCTAATAGCTTTATCAAAATAGTATTATTAAACCAGAATTTAGAAAATTCACTCAGCTTATATATAACAACTTAATCATCGTTCATCAGCATGAGGGCATTTTTGCGTTGTCCAGTTGGCCAATTGGTGTAAAGATAACAGAACCAGGTGTAGATCAATGTTGGATTTGATAAATGTGTAAAATTATAAAAACAGCGTTTGTTTACATAGTCAAATTGCTTATCACATTTGTGTTGATTTTGTCCCTTCATGTGAGAAATTGGGGGTGTTGTAACATGGTCAAATTCTGTTTTAGTCCATCATTCCTATCCAGACAATTTGGATTCCATTTGATGATATGAAGTCCTTCTGATGATATTAGACGTTGTTTGTGATTTCTGAAATTTTTCTGGATGATGATCTCAATATTGTGAAAATCAATTTTGTGACCTGATTTTATAGCGTCTAGATCTATATCTGATGATTTTTCAAGCTTTTCTAGTTCAACCGGATTTCCCTGTGGTTGAAACAGAGGCGGGATGCTTCGGTGTTCATTTCTTCTGATTGTGATTTCTGTCTGGCGATGTCTGTCCGACGTAGATCGCATCACATTCCAAGCATTTTATTTTATAGACACAATTTGAGAATTTTTAGGGATTTGGTCTTTTATATGGAGAAGGTTGTTTAGCAGTGTATCCTATGTTCTGAAGAAAACTCTGATGTCGAGCTTATTGAATACTCCTCTGATATCGTCTGACGACTCTGCTGTATATGGAATGACAACTTGAGGTTCATGTTTTCGGAATACGACTTCGACCATACTATTTTCTTACAAAAGAAACATAAAACTAATATTACTACTGCCCTGGTTTTATTTGCAACCTTTGCAACTTTCTACAGAGATTAACTTAACCTCAGAATATATAGAGTTTATTAATGTAATAGAATCGGTTGAGGGAACTCTAAACTTTCTCGATTGTCGTGTAAAAAGACAAACTTTCGAGGAACATAAGTTTACAATAAGTAGAAAACCGACGCATTCCAAAAAGTATTTAAATTTCCAATCAAATCATTTAATATGCATGAAAGTTTCAGTAGCTTTAAACCTCGTTATTAGAACTAGATACATTATAACAGATAATGACGATATGGAGAACGAGATATCCAATATAAAACAGATTTTGTTTGGAAATTGTTATCCTGGAAAGGCTACTAGGTAATATTATCACTAAAAAGAAACATAAGGGAAAACAGGAAATTGAAAAATCTTGGCTATCGACGATAGCCACGTCTGATTTCCCACAAACTGGAAGATATGCAAGTGAAAAGCAACAAGCTGGCAGAAGAAGCATCAAAGATAGGACTTTCTTCAGGTGAACATAGAGAAAACACAAGTGATGAAGATTCCTGGCCAACAACAACAGGCAACAATCAGCCAGCACAAATGGGAGGAACCTGAAAGAAACAACCTCCTTTACCTACCTAACTGGGAAGCATCGTTTCAACTACAGGCCAACGGAAATGACGAGGATATCAAAGCCCAAATCGGAAAAGCAAGACAAGCTTTCATTACTCTCAAGTCTTTGTGGAGGTCAGGTCAACAGCACTCAGCATAAAAAATAAGATCCGGATTTTCAACTCCAATGTGAAGTAAGTCAGTCCTACTATACGGATCAGAGACTTGCACTGCGCGTCATAAAGAGCATCTCAAACAAACTTCAGACCTTCATTAACAGTTGTCTTCGCTCAATACTCAAGATCAGATGGTCGGCCAGAAAAGATCAGCAACAGGGATCTCTGGCAATGAGCGAACCAACCAGGAACCGATTGTAAAACAAATAGGCAGGAAGAAATGGAGGTGGATTGGTTGGCCACACTCTGAGAAAACAATCTATCAAGTGACATCACTAGACAAGCCATTGCTCGAGTGGAACCCGAAAGGGAAGCGGCGAGTTGTTCGTCACTGTGTGGGTGACTTGGAGGAGGTGAGGTGAAGAGGAGATGAAAACATGTGGGCAGACTTGGAGCGGGGTGAAAAAGTTGGCAGAAAACCGAACGCACTAAAGGCGCACAGATGAAGCCCTATGTTCCTCTAGGAATTAAAAGATATAATAATAATTTCTCACCTTCTAACTCTTTGTTATACATATATATGCTGAGATTTTGTAAATTCTGGTTTAATATGAATACTTTGATAAAGCTATTAGCAGCAGCATTCCAAATAAAGAAACGTCGGTAAACACAACAATATCGTTTTGTCTTTTTCATTCATTCATTGGGAAATACAAAAAATGCCTTTATTATAATGAGTATCATTTATCCAATGCCCCCCATTTTTTCGAACTGTTAGAGTGAACTTGGCTTGGACATATATAAAGAGTATTCTTTTCGATAACTTCTTCATCAAGTTCTTTACGGTTATTTATCAATAGTAATTTAACAGTTACCGTTGTTTTTAACACCATTGTTTTAAATAGCATTGAATTATTATGTCTGCAGATTACAGGTAAAAAATATGTAGAAGTGATAATATGTATCGATATAAGACTAAACATAATATCAGATTAATTTTTAGGAAATGATCTTGATTTGATGAATACATTGCGAAATGGTCACGCTATGGAGTGAATTCTTAGCAGAAGTTAGAATTTATGGGCTGGCCATTGGATTGGGTCCCAGTTGCTCAGTGGTCTACAAGCTCGCCTTGCAACCAGACAGCCCTGGGTTCAAACCCTGGCGGTGGTTGCGTACTGCTGCAGAGTACCAAACCAGGTTGACGAAACAGCTGTCCAGTACTCCCCGTAGGTTTTCCAGTGGTTCTCTAACTGATATCAGTCCATGATGAAATCCTGCAACCAATTAAACAAAATCCCTACAAAACCAATACTTGATGAATATATAACAAATCATTTCTTTAAGAAAATATCAAAACAAGATCTGTTTTCCGAACGTTTCGTTATGTAAGCCACCACAGCTTCTTCAGCAGCAGAATTACTCAAAATATGTAGTCAAGAAGGTTTTGCATAAATTGAAGTCAGTTGATTTGGAGGTCACTTGTCGATAGATATTTGTACCAAGATTTGTAATGACCAATTTAAAACTGTCATGGTGCATATTTGTATGTGTGTAGGGTATATGTTATTTGTCACATGGAAAAGACGTCAATTCACATGTGACAAACATCATATTTTTATAGGGGTGAAAGCGGTTCATAGAGGTTTTGTTGTTTTCTCATCTGTCTTGCTTCATTTGAGTTTGCCATATAGGTGCTAAGTCTATCCCTTCTTTCCTATTCACTACATTCGATGTGCTTAAAATGTGCAAGGCTTCAGAGGTCAACCTTTCTTTATGTGAATGATGAAAGCCTCTTCCTACAATTTCGACATTGTCGAAATCAATCTTATGTTAGCTGTCTATTGTATGCATTGCTATAGCTGGTCATTTCTCTAGACTTTTTAATTCTACTTCATTTCTAGGTAGACGCTTCGTGCAGTCTACATTCACACACCTTCACCTGTCTACTGCACTCCCCTATATAGCATGCTTCACATGCTGAACACTTTATCCTATGGACACAATTGTTTTGTGACATTATATCTTTGACAATCACTAAAGCTTCCTCCAAACAATTAGAGGGCTTGAAATAGACTTTAATATTATATGAAGCAAATAGTCTTTGAAGTTGTTCAGCTGTCTCCTTTCGATATGAAATAGCTATCATCGATAGCCAAGATTTTTTAATTTTCTGTTTTCCCTTATGCTCTTTTTTATAGTGATATTGCCACGTAGGAAGATGCAGACTTCCTGACTGGTTGGCGTCGTTGGGACGGTAAAAACCAATGGTTGGAAACAACCAGTGAGATGGTTCAAAATCATTTCCAGTGGCTAGTGCAGATGCATCCACTCCTTGTGACTCATGATTTCCAATGAAACCGTTTTGCTCTTTGTTACTACTATTCCTTTGTCCCACACCTCTGTTTACTGTCTCTATAATGCATTTCTTCTATTTTCTTCTCTTGCTTTGTGTGCTACATGGAGAGAGTGTGGCGACTTGAACTGGTGCACATGGGTGCAAAGTTCTATGTCGAAAACAGACAGACAGACAGACCTTTTTAGTGATTATATTACCTAGTAGCCTTTCCGGATAACTTTTATATTACATATCTCGTTCTCTATATCATCACTATCCGTTATGTTTCTAGTTCTGTTAACGAGATTTGAAGCTCCTCAAACTTTTATTTCTATAGGATGAACTGACTGCAAATTAAAATACTTGTTGGAATTGTAAACTTTAGTTTCTCGAAAGTTTGTCTTTTTACAAGACGATCGCGAAAGTTTAGGGTTCCCTAAAACGATTCTACTACATTAGTAAACTCTATATATTTTGAGACTAAGTGTTATTTCAGTTATAAATTTGCAAAAGGTTGCAAATAAAACCAGGGTAGTAGTAATATTGGTTTTATGTTTCTTTTGTACTCAAAATTCCGGTTGTTTTAAGCAGATTGTGATTGCCTCTGATGTGTTGCAGTGTTCAGTAATTTAAGGCTTTAGGTTGTCTTTCTGAGAATTTAATTTTTCAGTGTGCATAATCATTGGACCAGGTAAAGCTTCAGGATTCATCAGTGATTAGGGTCTGGACTCATATTATCTCAAACATTCATAACCAAGGATGGAATGGAAAAGCTGTTTTTAAGTATCGTATACACGAACTTGAAAGACTTGACAATCTATATAATGCTACTACATTTATATCAAACAATACTATAACTGTTGAATGCTAACCACTTAGGAATGAGATATACCCAGCTATAGGTGGTGTTTCAGAATTTGTATATTAACTCAAGCAATTGCATTAAAACGTGATATTTACAGTAACCATAAATGCTTCAGATATTGTCGATTTAAGAAGCCTACTTCTGCAGTACTGCTTTGAATATAATACAACTTACTGTTTGTAACGCACCTTTTCAATATTGCACGCATTGTATTCAGATTTGAACTTGTTGATTGAAGAAGGCTTGAAGCTTATGTTCAGATTTCAGATTTACTGGTTGAGGATAAAAGACTTGGAGCCTATGTTAATCCTTTTATGGCAACCTTATGCTTTTCTCCAAACACTTCTTGTATGAATCAGTTAGGGTTGCAGACACCACTTCTTCTGGGAGTCTGTTCCACTTTATTACTCTGTGCGAGAACCACTACTCCACAGCTTTATGGTTTTTCCTTGTTTTTTGAACTATTCTGCTATGTCCTATAAGGTGTTCTTACCTGGTAGAAAAGAATAGAGAAAATAGACCAGTTTCGTAGTCATTATTTAAAATTTTGAACACTGTAACTGGATTTCCTGTTTACCCTTGGTATGATAGGGAGAAGACATTTAAACAGTCTATTCTTTCTTCGCATGATAAATTACTCACTCCAGGATTCGTAAGTGTTGCCTTCCTTCGAAACCTTCCTAGGATATGTGAATCCGCTTTAAGACAAAAAACTGGCTGCCTGGATAAAGCTTTCTAGTCTTGACCTCATCAGAGATGTATCTAAGGAGGCGAACATATCTCTGGTGATTCTAGTAAAGGCTCTGCGAGTTGCCCATAAGGATCTGAAGCTATATTCAGCCACCGCACGACAGTGTGCTGTAGTTTATAAATCATGACTATGACACCTATATCCCAATGAGTCTGGAGTGATGGAAGTTTGCAGGAGCTGGTGTTTGCTTGTCCGATGCGCATGGTTGCACATTTTGCCACACTTATGGGGAGCATCCATTCTATGGACCACTCTGACAATTTGTTGAGGTCCTCTTGTAACGTGAAAGTATCAGCGTTTCCCTTAAGCTCTCTTCAGATTTTCAAGTCATCTGCGTGTGGGACCATTGGGTAATCGGTGAGCACAGATAAGCCATTGACATATAAAATAAATAGTAGAGGCCCGAGTACCGAACCTTGTAGCACTCCGCTACGCACTGCCATCCGAGTGGAGAGATGCGAGTTGATCCTAATCATCTACCTCCTAGCTACGAGGAACCCCCTAACCAACTTTAGTAGGCTGCCTTAGATACAAAATTTTCCAATTACTTGAGTAGTCCTTGTTGAGGTACTTTATCGAAGGCTTTGCTGAAGTCCATAAACGATGACGTCAACGAGTCTTTTGTCGTCCTTTGACTTGGCCCGGCTTTCTCTTCCAGTGAGGAGATTTGAGGTATCCTAGGAACACAATGTACCATGGATAAAAAATTCTAGTTGAAGATTGAACGATAGATTCATGGTTGTTTGCTCAAACCCAACTCCTCCATATTTTTCGCGGGTCATCAATCTGGCAGTCATCGTCTCATCGTTCGCTGTTCAAAGGAAGATTAAAGACTATCGCCCGGTGCGTTCGAATCAGGTGAGGCTTTTGCACGTGTTTTCGTTTATATTCATTTATTGGTAACTATTAATTGATCTTTAATAACGATGGTTCAAAATTCTAAAAGGCGTGTTCGTGTGAACACCACTAATTTAGAAAATAGCACCAGCTCGTCTAATAACAAATTACCACCCCATATTATTAGTAGCTCACCAAACATAAAAGACTCAAACATAACTCTGACCCCTGTAATACGGGTGGAAGATGTTCTGTCTGAAAAAGTAGAGCTCTCTTACCTGACATGCGTAATTAAAGAGATGCAGCTACAGGTAGATGAATTAAAAACGAAATTAAGTTCACTAGAATGTATACCCGAAACTATCTCACATATGAAAAAGGAACTGCAGGATCCTACAATCCTAAAGCTCTTTAATATGACTTCTAGAATGACTCATACTGACTCAAAAAGTGCCAAGGAGTTAGAAAACGCCTTCGAATTTCTATCCAGCGAAGTTGTTAAAAGGCTGGCTTCAAAACAAAACGCAATAGTGTATAATGTACCGGATAGCAAGCCCATAAAGTCAGTCCAGCACTCATTGCTGAAGGCTGCAAATCTCTTGAATGCACCTTGTTAGTGCATTCGCCTGAGAGAAAAGACCTAAAACATCCTTGACCTATACTCTTTAGGTTCGACAGCTACACAATAGCTGAACGATTTAAGATGGCCGAAGATCTTCTGGCTACTGCCACTAAATTCAAGACTATTAAAGTAGTCTCGGGTATAACACCAAACCAAAGACAGGCAACCAAGAACTCCGTCGATACAAAGTAGACAACACTGAGAAGTACATCTGGTATGAGTGCTAAAGTGTCGACGGACACTGAAGCACAGCAAGTCACGTGTATAGTGTTGGGAGAAGAAACGGCAAGTAAAAGTGACCCAAAGCTCAGTAAGAGCAGTGCCACTGGGTGCAATCTTAGAGTAGACGAGAGCACATCTAGAAAACCTGCTGACCTACATAAGGTTGACATTGACGCACGAACTATGGCTGACCAGAAACTACTGCCAAACCACACTCAATCTGGATCCAAGCCAGAGAGTCCCTCTCAATGTAGTTGAAGATTGAACGATCAATTCATGGTTGTTTGCTCAAAACCAGCTTCCCCAATTATCGCGGAGGCATCAATATGACAGTCATCGTCTCATCGGTCGCTGTTCAGAAAGAAGTCAGGAGACAACTGTCAGAAACCTAGTTGTAACATTGTTTATATGTTGGTGTTATAATAAAGAATCCTCGAGTCAACAATTGGTGTTTTGGTTTTTGCGTCCGTTATTACTAAGCGTTTCTGAGAAAATTCAAGGAACGGCGTGAGCCCGAGTGCAGCAAGAGCTGGGCATTAACGGTTTACGAGACGTGGCTGACAGTTTCTGACGGTTTTTTACTGACTTCTTTCTGAACAGCGACCGATGAGACGATGACTGTCATATTGATGCCTCCGCGAAAATTGGGGAAGTTGGTTTTGAGCAAACAACCAAGAATTGATCGTTCAATCTTCAACTACATTGACAGTCCCTCAGTAGAAACCGCAAAAAGGACCACGAAGCCCAGAGTCCCACCCCAGACTTTGATACACCTCCCTCGTGATAAGTCTAATAGGCAGCATGTCAGTCTAAAAAATGATAAAGCATGGGTAATGAAGAACATTCTCAAAGACGTCACGCAGCATGTGAGAAGGAATACCCCTTACCAAACTAGAAGTAACATGTCTAGCAACGCACATAACTTGGGAATGCAACGTAGAATGGATCCTCAGGATATGTGGAGCACTAAACAGGACTCATATAGGCACCAGATTAATGAAAATTCTCGTCCAGACTGTCGCACTATATATGTTAAACCTCATCAACATAATGAGAACAGGTCGACACTTGATCCCCTCAATAACTTCACTCACACACGTGACGTGAGCCAATATGCATACGACTATGAAAGCCCCATGAGGTACAACTACCAAGGTAATCTTAACACAGCGTACCTAGGTCCAGCAAACTACAACGCAAATTGCAGGGCAGACCATATATCACCAGTAGATGAACGCAGATGCCGACCCATGGATGCTAATAGTCAAAATATGCAACAGGATTATTTTCGGCTGCAGCAAACAATAGCCCCACTCGCTGCACAGTTTATCCAGGAAATAGTACACACACTGACTCTGTCTCACCTCAGAGCCCCTCCAAACATAACGTAGGGATAGTAACAAGTAACCATGTTAACCTCTCCTCCAATAACTCTGGTTTACTAACAATTATGCTCCTGAATGCTAGATCTCTCCTTAATAAAATAACAACGCTTCGCTGCCTGGCATACATAGAACGGCCAACACTAATAATGGTGACTGAAACCTGGCTTACTACTGATATACCTGACACAAAGCTAGTAATAGACAACTACGACATCTATAGGAACGATAGAGTTGACAAAAGAGGAGGCGGTTGCTTAATATATGCCTATAAATCCACTAACTCCAATACTTTCAATAACCCAAATACTGACAAACTCCCAGAATCTAAGTGGATAAGCATCCACACAAACGAAAGTAAAATTCTCGTGGGATGTATATACAGACCCCCCAATAGCCCTGAAATGACTGATATAACTATTGCAGAAATACTAGAGCATGTAGCTACGCTGGACTTCGACTACAAAGTAGTATGTGGAGATTTCAACTTACCTGGAGTAAACTGGGATACCTGTACAGGACCAAGAATCCATGAAAAGCTACTACAAGCTATAGACATAGGAGGATGGAAGCAGTGCGTACGCCTCCCTACAAGGAACCAAAATACTCTTGACTTAATCCTTTTTCATAACATAGAGCCCATCTCGATAGAGGCGGGAAATAAACTCGATAACAGTGATCACAACATATTGTACTGCACGCTACCCCTCCGACTAACAACTAAATACACACCTAAAAATTCCCCGGTGCGCTATCAATATAGGGACTATAAGAATGCTGATTGGGAATTCCTATCAGATCTGTTGAGAAGTTCTGACTGGGAAGAATACTTCATCAACAATAACTTAGAAGTATCACTTGAGATTTTCTACAAAACAGTTGGCTCAGCAAGAGACACAATCGCGCCCCTAAAATCTGCCCTAAAGACACCAACTCCATTTATTGACCGCAAAACGCGACTAAAACTAAAGAAATTGAAAAGGAAATACCATGTATTTAAGGAATTTAATGCGTTAAACCAAATACATGAAACTCTTAAACTGCTTGAAGAGAAACACAAAGCGATGTCACAACATGAGGAAAATAAAGCGCTTATGGGTAACACCAAAACTCAGGAACTTTGTAGGATATTGCAGAAACGTCTAAAAAGCAGTAAAGACAATAATGTAAGCATCTTGGAACATAGGGGTATAATAAACAACGATCCCCAGGTTATAAGTGAACTCCTCAGTGAGTGGTTTTGCAATGACACCAGAGTGCACCCGACCCCAAATTTCCAAATGACCTGCAAAAGCAACCACAAATTAGGAGAAATAGATTTTAATATACAAAATATAGACTCAGCGATTAAAACATTGAAGTCAAATGGCAGTACTGGAACCGATGACATACCATCTGTCATATACAAAAATGGTAGCACGGAAATGGTAGTCTTGTTACTTAGAATATTTACTCTGTCACTGGAAACTGGAACTTATCCTGAAGTGTGGAAAACCACATACATATTACCTAAGCACAAAGCAGAGGCCAAAACCAGTGCATGCAACTATAGACCTAATAATACACACCGGTAATATCACGAATAATGGGGAAAGTGGTTAAAGACCAAGTGTCAGACAACTTACTAGAACATGAACTTATCAATCCATCACAACACGGATTCCTCAAAAAGAGATCATGTGTGACCTGTCACATAGACTTTTTCAATGAAGTTACACGAAGCAGGGACAACAGAGAACTAGTAATTGTGCTATGTTTCGATATAACAAAAGCCTTCGATAGAGTCCCCCATAATCTGCTAGTCAGGAGGTTATGCTCACTAGGGATATGTGACCATCTCCCGAGCTGGATAAAATCATTTCTCTGTGGCCGAAGTCAGATAATGAAAGTTGGCTTGATAATCTCAAGGCCTAAACCAGTAAGTGGTGGTGTATTCCGGGGAAGTGTATAAATGAGAGTTAGCGGTTACAAGTATGGAAGTAGTATAGTACTTGTGCAAGTACTACAACAAGATAAATTTTATGTAACGAATCACGTAAAAATGTAACGCAAACGTTGAACGTACCGCGATACATATACACTACCATTTACCACTGCAATCGCTTGTCACTCATTCTGCCTCAGTTCTAGTAACGGTGACGTATGCAAGCCTCAGTCGCCTGCACTCTCGCTCCCTGGCGTGTGGGACCGCAGCTAAGAATTATCTCCGTATGCATTTCATTCTCAGCACCAGCCTCCCCGGCATATACGACCCATCCGCTGTCTTTAACATCAATCAATTCATTCACAGATGTAGAAGACTCGAAACAACTTCAGAAGTAATCACGACGAAAATTTTAACAAAATTATGCAATAACAACGGGGTACGAAAACAGCAAGTAAACAGAATGAATCCAAAAGTACCAATGATATGACACACCACATACATATATGAAAAGTACAAATAACCTCGCAGATCATGCCTCGATGTTATTCCTTGGAAGAATCGCAAAACTTTCACCAGTACTCCTGCAACAGGAAACGCCATACAGCAAGAATTAGAAAAAATGAACAGATGGTGTGACACCCGGCAACTCCAGTTTAACGTCGAAAATGTGGCTGGCTCTGCATAGGTTGCAACAATTTAGAACTTGACCTGACAATTCAAGCCCATGCACTCTTACGACTGGAATCTGTATTGGACCTGGGACTGAAACACTCACATGACTTATCATTTTCTGAACATATCTCCAAACAAGTGTCAAAGTCACGCAGACTTATCGGCTTTCTACTCAGGAACTTCTACAGAAATGAGTCCAGAATTCTGTTGTACAAGGTTTGTGTGCGTCCTTTATTTGATTACTGTTCATTCATGTATAGTAGTACACTCATAGAGGACAAATTGAAAGTCGAGGGAGTGCAGAAGTCACGTCAAAATTACTCGGAACTGAAAATAGTGCGAACCACTCCACTAGATGTGACACCCTAGGATTAGAAACACTATGGCTAAGACGCCTGAGACTAAACTTAACACTTTACTATAGGCTTCTAAACCACTTAGTTTTTACCTCTGCTAATGGCATTCGACTTTCAGATGACAATGGCTACAAACTAAGACACACTAAGGGTACAGTAGCTATCGAACAATGTAAAACAGCTACCAGGCAAAAGTTTTATTTGATTAGGTATGCACAGATATGGAATAAACTACCAATGGAAATGCGTCAAGTAGGTACATTGGCCTCATTCAAAAAAGTGCTTAACGACAAACTACACGAGTTTGCAAACGATAGTAGTCCTAGTTCCTATCTGAGAGCCTCCGAAATTATAGGTCCATTTAATGTATAAGCTCAAATACTACACCTGTTGTTTTTGCCTATATTTATAATTTTAGATAAAACATTAACGATTAAGATACTTACCCTCAAAAAGACAAGAAGTTTCGTTTGTAAAACTTCTATCAACACAATAAGTGGAATAAAATGGACATAAACCGACAACGTGAAAAAGATAGAACTCACCACAACATCACATGGACAGATGTGCGCTCGTCGGGCATCATATCATAACTTTCTACTACTTATTTGCTCAATGCTGCACGATTATTCCCTGATTTTCCAACCTACATTTGTTTATATCTAAAATGTAGACTCGGATAGTCTATTTTCCTTACATTTTTCTTCTCCAAAATGCTGTAACAGACGAAACATACATGATGCTCTTCTGAAAGTAGTCATTCATACCATGACTGTGAGTGAGTGGACGAATGAATGTTTGGAAAGAAACGTTTGTGGCATATTGCAAAAGAAATTAAAAAAATAAAATAAAAAGAATAATTTAAGAAATGAAGCATTCCGCCAGGGCTTTGCACAGAAAAGGTGGGAGGGTGGTGATTGCTAGTCAGCGGATATGATGGTGGGGACATATGAGAACCACCCTTATCTGTGGGACAGCACTCTATTGCTAAGGCTCCTGAGTTCGAATGGCTTCTGCAAAATGAGAATAAATAAAAAAGTAAAAACTAAAAAAATAATGAAAAAAGAAATAGAAGTTGAAAATTGCCTAGAGCCGAAGTTTAAATACAAACTCCCGAATGAAAGTAAATTTTTTTATTTTTTTTTTTTTTAACCACTTGCCACCGACGCATATGGTATGAGTCCGCTAATTCAGAAGGACACCTAACTGTATACTTCGGAAATACAGATATTATTAGGCCCTCGCCTTTCTTTTACATAGCTCACGCACTCTGACTTTTGTGTTTAACTCCTTTTCAACCTACATAAGTAGGTAAAATCATCACCTGTTTTTCACTTTAAACTAATTGTTCGCAGAAAAGACTGTAAAATATCGGGAAAATAATATTTCTTGAAAAAAAACAATAAAAAATGATGGACCCCATGGCTGTTATATATTTTGAATTATTAACACCTTTGGTGACTCTAAAGAATAGCGGCCCAAACCGAAACGACATTTTAACGCAAAAATGGCTTTGAGCAAGGAATCAGCTGACTGTGTCATTTTCGGAAGTGATCATGAATGTTTCGATTACTTTTTGGATGACGGACTGATAGCTTCGTTGAAAATTTGCCAATGCGGAGGAGTTATGCATATACAAAAATACACAGAGGCCATTGATGGCTTTGTATACAGATGTATTGAGTGCCGAAGGAGGAAATCGGTTCGAGAAGGTTTGTCGTTGTTTTCTAGTTTACAGATCCCTTAGGAACTTTTCTCTCAAGGTCTAAACTACCTTTGACGAAAATTTTAATGATCTGTAACTTCTGGGTCCTGAAAAGAGCAGTCACAGCTACAGCTTATGAAACAGAAAATTCAGAGGTGTCAGCAGTGCAATGGTACAACTATTGCAGAGATGTTTCCTCCTGGAAAATGAACACCCTGACTCAAGTTCTCGGAGGAGTCGGCAGCATAGTCCATATTGATGAGACTGTACTTATAAAAAGGAAATACAACCGCGGGAGATTACAAACAAACCAGCAGTGGATACTGGGTATCTACGACACGACACTGCGCAAAGGGTATATAGAAGCGATTCCCAATCGCAGTGCAGCAGTATTAGTGCCTATTAATAAGCGTTTGGGGTTGCCGGGGACGACTATTCATACAGATGAATGGAGCGGGTACCGTCAATTATCGAATCATGGGTATATTCATCATGTTGTTAATCATACAGACGGTTTCTGGAATCCTTTGGATGGAACCCACACCAGTTCCATTGAAAGTTTTTGGAGTCGTCTAAAAATACGTATAAGAGCGGTTAATGGATCGAGAAATCCCGTGATTTACAGTTACCTGGATGAATTTATGTACCGAAACTGGTTTCATATGACTATGAAGACTCCCATGAGAAACTGGGAGGTTTTTTTGCAACATATACGCGAACGCCATTCTTTGTAACTGTTTATTATGATTGCATTACTTTTATATAAACCGTTTTTTACAATTATGCGCCTTTCTTTTTGAGCCTTCTCATTGCCCAAAGTTGCCCTGTCAAGGTTATTTTTGCGTTAAAAGGTCGTTTCGGTTTGGGCCGCTGTTCTTTAGAGTCACCACACCTTTTATATACTTCTGCACCTCTCTGCCGGTTTTCTTGTGTCTTCTTCTCTTTTCAAAGATACTGCTTTCAACGAAGATACTGATACAGCGCTGCAATTCTCTACTTTTTCGTGATATTGCTAGCTCATCTGGTGAATAACAGGTCACCGATATTATAAAATCTGCTGACAAGTTCAAAGTCGGTCTCATAAACAACTGGAAATGTCACAAATATGGTGTACTTACAGGTGAATTTAAAGTTTAATAGACTTTGAAACACTTTATGAATCATTTACTGGTAATTATTGTTTATTCTGCATCTCTCATATATCACGTCAGCACCTGTACAGAAATGCTACCTACCTTTCTCAACTAACGCAATCATTTATAATTCCCGCGTGAAATTGACACGTATTTCTTTTCAATCACTGTTTAGATTTGATGCTATATCTATTTCCTCATTTGTACACTTCATTTTACATGTTTCTCTCACATTTACCAGTATTCAACTTATTCCCAAATTAACAAATCATATTATATATTCTACAAGTTTTATTAAGTGTGCGTATGTTCATGCCTGTAAAAATGGCTGGTTTCTGTTCCAGAAAAAAATTATCATTATTATATGCCTCACCAACTACAACCCAACATTCCTGAGATATTGTGATGAACTTATATCCGTAATGTTGCTGAGCAGTCAATATCCACAACTCCTGTCGAAACAACTGAAATTCAAAAACCTTCCTCACGAGAACAAAATACCCACAAGCAGCAGAAATCCATTAATTAAGGCGTCTAAAGCTTATGTATTTTACTCCCAACAATGACATTGCAGATCAAACGAGATAAACATATCACTGATTTCAAAATAACACATCAATGAACTATAATTCAAGGATTCTGCACACAACAAAGTATTGTACGAAAATTGACTTCAAGCTTTATTTTTTTTCCCAGGCACTTATAACCCATCCACCAAAGACCTGGTTTTTTTGTTAATGCGAAGACAATACTTCTGTAATTCCTGATGTATTGCACTCACTGACAATCTAGCGGATTTTTCATACTATGCACAGAAATGATTGTACATAAGTGAAAAGGATGTTTTATACTATTGGGATTAACATTTATCAAGTGTATGTATAATCTCCAGCGTACATATAAGACATATATTGCTATCGACTGTAAAATGTGACCGAATAATATGGTTCTATTTCTGTAACAATTCGATGATACCTGTAAACTGGCGTCCCTCATGTACTGTGCTATGAGAATAAATTTATTTGTTTTTATAAGTATTATCATAATTTATTGTTATAACATTTGTTCTTAGATCTCGTGTAATAACATTATTGTTTTTTATATGTTGGCGTAAGAATAAAGGATTCTCGATCGTCCAATCAGTGTTCTGGTTTCGCGTTGGTTAATACAAAGCGTTTTTGAAAGTCTCCGAGGGACAGCGTGAGGTCCAGCGTAGCAAGAGGTGGACAATGACAGTTTCCGATAGTTTTGGATAGTTTCCGTTCGTCCTTCCTGGTGCCTG